AGTGGTCTGCTCTGTAATTTGAGGCAACGTTTTCACCAGTTCTATATCCTTGCTTGCTTTTCTTGTACAGCTTGTAATGGGATTCAGCCTTTCAGWTTGAATTCTGGAGTCTACTCAAGAGTTCATATTCTCAAAAATACAAAGCTGTGGGTGTTCAGGTTTTAATCTATGTCAGGTTTCTATGACGGAGGCAATAGTTCACCTCTAGAGCTGCTAAAATGATTATCTAATTTGTAAAGCAATTTAAGAGAAAGACAAATATAACCTTTTATATTCTTCTTTTGACAGAATCTCTGCTAAGGAAGCTCTCTTCTAAATTCTTAGGACTCTTACCTTACCTTCTTTTGGTAAAGGCTTTGACCCTTCTTTATAATGAACTTTGTGCTATCTTTACCTAGCGGATTCACCAAAAAACCCAACTCAGACAGCACAGTCTATGCCAAGGAGTAGTCAGTTTGTTTTGTTTATGTTGTCASCATTCCCAGGTCACTCCTGGAAGATGCTGAGAGGGATTGCTATTTTGGTGTTAGTTATGTGAGAGCTTCTGCAGAAATAGATCTATTTCAGTTTGACTTGCTTTGGAATTCCACTCCTTCCTGCACGTGAGGAAGGTCAGATGGGAGTTGTGTACTTCAAAACTTTTACCCAATCCACCTCTACCACAGTCAACTGTAGGCAACTTAACAGCACACAGACAGAAGTGGCATGGGATATGTCCAGCATGAGATACTGACTAAATATTTTGCCTACATGAAAAAGCCTGCACATAACCTTTTAATATTATGCAAGAGTAATAAAGAATTTAAATGCTTTTATTCAATCACACCAAGTRTGAGAAATCGGAAGCAGTCCTTGTYCTCYTAGACTGAGCTGGGCTCATTTTTTATATACTTTAAAATGGTGGATGGATGCTAGACTGGACTTTGAGAGTTTATTTTTATCTGCAGTTCCCAGCATCAGTGGGACAGGACAGAGACCTTAATGCATGTATTGGGTTAGCTTAAGCTAATTCTCCTTCAACYTTATCTGTCCAAATAAGCTACACCTAAAGGCATGTGCCCATTAATTTAGGCCTCCTTATGCATTCTTGCTTAAATAATATTAGTCAGCAGAGAGATGTAACAAATAAAAAACTCCTCAGAATTCTGTTTATTTGGCCCAGAGCAAAATCCTAACATAAAAGGTAGATGGGCAGAAAGAGCTTTGAGTGAACAGGCTGTAGGGTCCTGGTCCTCCTGAGCTCTCTGTAGATGAAGACATGTGCCAGGGACGATGTGTGAGCCCAGAGCCCAGCAGGTACAGTGCAGAACTGAGCTGTCAAGCCTCCTCTTTGTACTGCTTTTCTTTCTTCCAGGACTATCAGCTTTTCTTAGAAACTGTCAATAAGACTTTCACCAGTAGTGACTTAGGGTTCAAAGTCCCTTTTTGTTCTCATATTTCTTCCTTTGCCTCCTCAGGCCATGTCTCCAGAAGAGCAATTCAACCAACAGACAGCGCAGTCTCCTTTTGGCTTGCTAGAGCCCCATCTAGAAGCTGGAGCTATTCTTAGTCCAACCAAGATCACTCCAGTCCCTAAACCCAGAACTGGGAAGCCTCAGGAGAGCAGGGGGAGCAGTGAAAGGCAGCCCCCATCAGCAAGCACGGCTGAGGCCATCGTGCTGCCCTCCCAGAACGCTCCTTTTGCCCCAAAGGTGCCGCCACGAAGAAAGAARTCRGCTCCTGCAGCTTTTCATCTSCAAGTCCTCCAGAGCAGTGACAGCSCYCTTTTTAGTGGAGCACTGTTYAACTCCAACAACAACAACCCTGGGTCCTGCCCGCAGACTCATGGCCCTGCTCGCTCAGGTCCTACAGCCTCTGCCAGCCCAGAAAACAGCAAAGCTCAGCCCTTGGCAGAACTGATGGCAGAGCTCCAGGGCCCTCCTGGACCAGCACACCAGCACTGGATACCACAACGCTTGGATACCAGCCCCCTGCCAGAGGACACAAATCTTCTGGACCTGGACATGGATTCTTCCTTCCCTCCTTCCACACAGGCACCATCAGGTTCTTCTCCAGCACACACTTCTGAAAAGTTAAATCACCCYAACCGGAAAGATTTCAGTCACTGGGTCACATTTAGTGATGACGAAGACAGCAGCGCAGTGGCAGAAAGGTTCAACAAACTGCTGGTCTTAGAACAAAACAAAAATACCTTAACGAAAACAAATACTGATTTAGAGTTGTAAAATTTTGCCTCCTTAATTTTCCTACAGAAATCATAATTATGATGCAAAATAAAAAATAAATCCTTTTTTTATTTAATGAAACAGATCATATGTCCATGCTACATTTCATTTTCATGTTTAAAGATACTGCCCCTGGAGGGAAGTATATAGAGTACATACAACCTAACATTATCTACAGTTCATTTGAAAACTTCCTTATTCTAAGTTATTTCTTTTTATTAATCCATGTTAAGATGTTTTATTTCAGGTACAAATCATATGTAAGAACATGTAATGATGTATGGAAAAAAAAGACATTAAGAAAAACATTTTCCTGTGAAATGTATATTTTAATTGATTCCTGTTGTTTGAAATAAAGCATCATTGCTTTGAAGAGGTATTCTCCAGTTATTCTGAAATGAACATCCAAAAGGAGAATACACCAGTATAACAACAGCACTAACACTGGTATTGCTCTGCTAGAAGTTCCAAAACTCACCCTGGTTTTTGTTCACAACATGCCCATGTCCAACAGCATATTTTGAAAAAGGACTGTGGTTTTCCACGTGCTATTTCGCTGCAAAGAAATGTTACAGGCTGCCTGTGCGTTTGCTGTGCGGATCCTGTGGACAAATGGGGAACAGCTGAGACCAACTGATGTCACAGGTACTGGTTTAGGGATGTCTTATGCTAAAGGCAGCTCAGGAATTCAGTAATTGTGTCCCTGTTCCATTCTGTGTCCTCACGAACAAATACCATGTCAGTCTTTTATTTGCACAGTGCAAATGGGGAAAGGGCTGGCCCTTTTTGCCTGGCCCGTGGGCTAAAGCTGCACATGATGGATGCCATTTGTGCAAAGCAGGCAGTTAAAAACCATAACCAGATTGCAACTTGTCATGGTAACTTGTTAAGAGAAGCATCAATATCTTTTGTTATTAAATGAGAACATTTTTAAGCAGCTGGAGAAGCTGAAAAAACTCATTTTCAAAAAACATTGTAAGATCTATTTTAAAAGAAGGTTTTTTTTTTTTTTTCCCCATAGGAAAATTAATTGGCTTGTTCTCAGCTTCCTGAACACTTGGAATTCAGGCATTTTATTCCGTATAATGCCTACCTGTTTCTCTGCCACTGCCAAATTTTGAACACAAGACATCCTGTGAGAGAGGATGCTGCCTTTGAGCACCTGTCATCCTCCCCTGCTCTCATTTGCCAGACACTTATAAAATTCCCCAAAACCTTCAAAGGCCAAGCCCATAAAACCCAGTGCTAAGCTTCTTCTGTGAGTGTCAGTTTAATGTGGTTGCAGGCTGGTGAATAATGCTAAAGCAAAGAYACTCATTTCCCTACAAGATGACACAAAGCCTTTGCCTCTTGGTCCTCCTCTTAAAAAAAAATACAGTGAATATTTATGGGCACATCTCAGTATAAAACATTAGCAGTAAAAAAGAAAGAGTACGGTATATGACTATATCCAACATTTTCTGCAAAGATAATTAACAGCTCTAGGACAGCTAATTTACATGTTAATGAAAGTGTTAGCAGGAAAGCCAATTAAACTGGATTTATACAAGTCAAATAAAATCTGCTTTATTACTCTCCTTGAATAAGAGACGGATGTGGCCTTTAGCATTCAATCTTATGTCTGTTTCTGTGGCACGCTGCCCACTGAAGTATGAATCCCAGCAGCTCRCTGGTTTATGCTATCAGTGACAGCAGATACTGCTCAGTCGCAGCAAATCAAGGCCAGGGGACAGACAGTCCAGCTGAAAAGGTTACAGCACAGAATGAGGAATCTCCTGTCTCAGTAAATTACCTTCCTCACCGGTGCCCAACATCCCAGCCCAGTGTTTTCACAGAGACAGGAGCTTGTGACCTGTCAGCGATCTGGTTCTAGTTTCAATGGTCAAGGGAAGCAAAGCAGGGCCAGACTTGCTCCCTGTTTGGGAAATCACTACAGAAAACTSAGACTGCAGGAGGCAGTGATTCTTTCCATCGCATTTGGGATAAGCCAGCCCCCACTATGTGAAAAGAGGCCAAGTAACCTGAACCCTTGTCAGCTGATGTCCACAACCAGGGAACCCACAGTACAGCTCTGTTCTCAGCTCTGYTGCCCATCCTCACTGGGACATTATCAGTGGAAATCAATGTCCTCAGTGACAGCTGTCAGTCTTCAGGGACATATCATGGGTTGTAGGGAGTGGTACATTTTCCATTGCCAATCCTCTGCTATTTTCCATGTCATGAACCCAGGACTTGGCAATCTAAAAATTATTGACAGCAGCTGTGAAGCCAGGTAAGAATGACTTCCCAAACACAGGTATACAAGTGTCTGCTTATTTATTGTGAGAGGCTTTGGCAAGAGACTGACACCACATGAGCTTGCCTGGGACCCCGCAGTATTGCAGCTTCAAACTGCAGCAGGCACCCTGGTTGCTCTATTGCATTCGTGTTTGGGGTGGGTGGTTCTTCTTGGTAAACCAACTGCCTGCTTTAGATTTTTTTAGGTGGGTTACCACTGAAGCAAATAAAGAGAACCAAAACATTGGTTAGAATTTTCACTTTGACAAAACAACATTTTTGCTTTTCCCTTTTTGTCCAGAATTGCCATTTTCACCAGATGGAAAACTTCTCATTTCCAGCCAGCTGCTCCACCTGGMACCAGGAAGCGCAAATCACAGCAAAAGCCGATTCAGAGCACGGTAATCACAGCAATTAAACACTCCATGGCCATTGCTACTACAAACACCAACACAAGAGTGCTGGACAACAAGTGACCAACCTCTTTTAGCCCTCCTGTCCTGTCTCACTAGTTTACTCTTGGATACCACAATGCAGATGAAACAACATCTCCTCAGACAACTCACAYAGAACCTGTCTGCCACACCTGCAGCTGAGCCACTGGATGGGATTAAAAGAAWAGTTTGAGACCTGAGAATTTACAGAAAGACACTACTCTCAATTAATGTGACACCAGGAAGTACAAAAGCATCAAATTCCTGACAGGAAGTGGACCTGCTAGCCCTCAAACTAATGTCTGTACATGCTTTAGGAGGCACTGCTGCAAAATCCAAAAGCACAACTGAAAAACTGTTCAGTCTGGTAAAACACGGCTGACGAGCTGCCTCCCAGTACTGTGCCTCTTACCCAAGATGAAGGGTAATGTTACATTCTCCCAGCACGAGACAATCACTGAAAAATAATGCACGTCTTTAACAAAAAGGTCCAGAGTATTCAGGTGGCAGATCATTAATATATTTTAATACACTTTGTGACATACCCAAGACATTTTTTAGATCACATTTTACTACTATATTCCAAAAATTAAAACCCAATCCCCCCAAACCAAACAACCCCCCCCCACCAAATATTAGTTTTAGAAGTTACACATATATAAATAGTTACAAAAAGAACACWGCCTTAAGAGTTCCAGTTACAAAACACAGATGCATTTACTAAGATTAATCTTTAATGTCACTGATCTGAATCAGTGAGCCAAAGGAGTCTATTAAAACCAATAGATTTGTCACACTAAACAAGCATTCAGTTATTAGAAGTCTTGTCTATTTACCATGAATTCCACATACTCTCTACTTTGTGAATACAAAGTGTACTAATATATTTACACTCWGAAGTCTAAACCACAGTGTAAAAAAGATAAAGCTCTTTAGAAATTACGACATYTCTGTTACATTTTCTATACAAAATACTGCCATGCAGCATTGTTACCTACATCTTGGGGGAAAATGCTCTTTTTGCCAGTGCAGTGCCAAACATTCTCTGTACTGCTCTTGTGAATTTTACTTCACAACTCCCTCAGGTCAAGCCTCAACTTCCAGAATTGTATTTTCAGTTGCAATGTCCTCCTGGGCTGGCCTCAGGACCTGGCAGGACTGCAGTGCCCACSGGCACCAAGACCATGCAGACCTGCAAGGTGCATCCCATCTCCTTGGCAGCTTTCATAGCCATCATTTCAAGGGCAGTGACATTGGATCCATCTCACAGAAGTGACATTAGGAGACACCTCAAGACRGTCATCAACACAGACCTTATTTAACAAACGCTCAGCAAAGGCAGTACAGCTTTACACAGCCTATGCTTGTTTTCAGAGAAGGTTGCAGGTGTCAAAAAAACAAGTAAAGGGACCACAATAAGATGAGGCTGCTTTTAACCACACTGCCAACTATCTAAGACTTCAAAAAGTGACTGTGCACTGTCTTTTTTTTCTGTCTAAAAATACTGATTTCTCATTAGTACTGTTAAGGTATCCTAAACATGAACATAAATTCAAATAAGASAATGCTGCTGTTTGTATCTACACCAAAAGATATATTGGGGCCCCAAGAAACCTAAATATTTAGGTATCCCAATTTCCAGTGGGACTTTACAATCTCCTGATTTTTTTCCTGCATTACTTTTTTCTACCTCAGCTCCAAACTYCAAGCATTCGCTTTCTTGTGAGAGCCTGCATTTGTCTGGCTCCACCTGAGCATATCAATGCTCTTCTTTAAATCAGCAACAGGAAAGTTTCCGTAGAAGTAACATGAACATGTATGAATGTAGCATCTTCTCAGTGTGTCCCAAGAGTAAAGCAGAAGAGTTGAGCCTCTGCTCTACATCTTCAATGTGCCCTGTCTGACCAGATACACACTGTCCTAAGGAAAGCAATCTCACAGGTTGCTAAGATTGGGAGAGAAATGTACAAGAAGGTGACTATTTCTTTTCTTTTGTTTCCATTAATACAAACAGATTAAAACAATGACAATTTTCTAAGCAAGGCAAGTTGCCAACTACCYCTTTCTCATGCAGAAAACAGATGCCGTGTCTGCTGACAGATCTGGGTGGTCTATTAAATTAAAAGGCAAATGACAAAACCTCCAGTAACTGGGCCACTAGACCAAAATGCCACCTTCRTTCACTTGGACACTATTTTTTCAGGCTCCAGACAGGAGACCTAAAATGGACAGTAAACCAAAACTTTGCAGCAACCACACACTGCTCCTCCCCTTTGGTACAAAAGGTAACAAGCTCAGCAATCCTCACTGTAAGATTTTGTCCACACGTATATTTAGCTGCTTTCAAAGCAAGCTTGGGGCTTTTTTGTGCTAAAAGAAGATATCCTGGGCACACACTTTCTTTTTGCCAAGTTTGTATTTGTTTTRAATGTGCTTTGAGAAATAAACTGGAGAGGTGTCTAAAATTCAAGATGTACAGTAAATTATTAAGCAGCAGATACTACCRATATAGCACCCTTGTAATTCTGCAGATCCCCTAACAAATGTTAGGAGAAGTTTCTGTGTTACAGCAAACAGGACAYAAGCAGGAAAGGATGACAAAACCTCAAAGTTCTTGGGCTAAAACATCCTGAATGAACTTCAGTGTACGTTGATACAGGAAAGCATCCTTCTTCTTTGGCTTACAAATATTTAGATGATTAACATCCACTGGAATAAGGTCTCCAATTCCTAAGTCTGGGAAAGGAAAAAAAAAAAAAAAGAAGAAAGAGAGAAAACTACCAAAGTTACCTACACTGAAAAGCACATCTTGCACTAGCAATTTCTCTCCCACAAGCACCTTCTTCTGTCTTCAGTAAAACTTTTTGGTCATCATTATTTTTTCATGTGTTAAAAGCATCAGTACACACAGTTATGGCAGATGGAGCTCTGTGTTAGCACAAAACCCACASTGGCACAGTTCACCATTAGGTCAGAGTTCTACTGTCTTTGTTTGAAATACACAAATGTACATTTCTTCAGACAGACAACTTTGCTGAAACAAAACTTCATTTACCAGTACCTGACTGATAGCACAGTCCTGACTGAGGTTTAAGCATTGATATGATCAGGGATGTAGTTTAATGCATGCTATATTGAATCTAATCACAACTAACAGCCCATATTCCTTACAAAAATACTTTGATGTGGAYATTAATATTTGGACTATAATGTACCTGAAATATGATGAAAATCACTACACACATTTCTAGGCAAATGAAATATTTACATTGCCTAATTGGAGAATACAAATATTCCATTTTCAGCTACTGTTCTCTAAGTTGAACACACATAAAAAAGCAAGGGAAAGAAGAAGTCTGGTTTTCCCTTCTACAAAAAGCAAAAGGATGAAGGGAACTCTTCAGGAGGCAAACTCTATTCCCTGAGTTCACAAGATGTGGAAGGTAAAGGATTCTTAACACTGAAAACCAGCTTTGCAACTTTCTTCTTCTACTAGCAGTTTACTATTTTTCTTTCTTATTTTTTAAAGGGGGAAATAGCTGGAATTTGCAGCAGCACCTGAAACACTATTCAKCCTATCTATACAAAGATAAACCACAACCAGTCATAATTCCAGAGGAAAGGACTCCAATAGTGTAACATTAGACCAGGGTCTATCTCGCTTTTTTCAACAAGCATTACTGTCATTTAGAAAAATCAAAATAAAYAACTGCTATTCTAAGATCAAAATGTAGCTGCTTCTGATCTCAGTAGGGAGGCTCAGTAAAAGCTGAAATAAAAACCCCTCCACCATAACAGATGTGTTTTTCTACCATAATATTTATAACTCTTTCTCATTACTGATGCTTCCAATATATGCAAAATTAAATAAATTAAATGGCTATTTGACTTACCTGCTGACTCCACAGGTACAACATGCAGTTTTATCATGCTGCCTATGTGTGTTGGTAAGGTTTCTGCAAAACTCAGCACTGAAAATTTCTTGTCTTTGGCAAAAGACAAGAATTCATCATTTAGCTCTTTAAGGGCAGGAGAATCTGAGAAAGAGCAACACAATTTTTGCAATATTATAAGATTATAGCATTTTTCTGGCAAGACTGGCTAAAGATATTTTTTTTTATTACTATGACAGTAAAAGGAGTAGCATTTTGTTTGCAAACCCTTTATTCCAMCTAGCATATGCAACAACTTGTTCTGATTCCCCCTTTTCCCCTCAACACTGCAACCAAATGAAACTACTACTTTGAATTACTAGCAATAATTCAGCACTCAACCCAGAACATAAAAAGGAGGTTTGTTGTTTTTACCCAGCTTTTTCTGACAGCACAATGAAAAAACSCAAAGCACCATGAACAGATTAGCAGAGYTCCCTGTTGTTAGATGGTAGCAAAGTGAACATACCCTTGCTGAGTTCTTTAACCTCCACAGACGGGAAGAGGAGATATCTGGCATTTATAGAATATTCAGCCAGCCGGGAACCATGGTGAGGTACACTATAAAATACGATTCCTCTGGTGTTGTTTACRATTTTATCCATTTCTGGATTCTTGGAAGCATCCACCAGCATTTTTTTGACTAGAAGACCTGGCAACAGAAGCTGAATTAATACAGCRATTTAAATCACTGTGAAATACTGATCATGCTATATTAACCATGAAACAACTAACTATACTCTTGCCTTGGTTGATTAGTCCTTAGATTGTCAAATATGTAAGATTAACTTGAAAAAAACCTAAACCAAGCCTGAGGAGGCATCAATATAAAATGCCAATGAATGATGCAAATCCAATTTTGGTTTGCTTTATGTGTTGCTAATGACATTTACTATATGCCTGATCATGGAGAAAATTTTGCCTCTGGATTTCCATTTACATGAATTTCAACTCACTGAGTTTTTAAATAAACACAGTAAGAACAAACAGCAATAAAAATCCTTTCAGAATGTATGTGCTATTAAATATAATGCACTAAGAAAATAAAAAATATGTTTTTCATTTTTAGGTCTTTGCCAATTTCTTAAATAAACTATTCTGAATAATTGCATTTCTATCTGAATTTGGTTAATGGCTTATTCTGGCTTCTAATTGCAAATAAATGCTTTAGATCAAACAGGCAACATGCTTACCACCCATGCTATGGGATACCCACACCAGAGGTCTCYCTCCAATCCCAGCAGCTTTGAGCTTGTCAAGCAGCTCACTGCTCCTGAAAGCAATCGACTTCCTGCAAAGAAAAAACAAACACAGGCATAATGGAGCACGACAGGGTAAAARCAATATTAAAACACAATGAACTTGAGTGCTGCATATTTATGAAAGTGAATTAAGTACACAAATATTAACTAATTACTGTTTCTACACTGAAAAAGGCCAGAAACTTTTGTGAGGATGGCTTCACAAAGACAACAGGAATTGAGCTAAATTTGGTTTCTTCCTCTTGCTAGAAAGTTTTAATTTTGCTCAGCAAATATTTCCACTTTCTTGACAAGTTGTTTTATGGAGTTTTAGATAGTTTCATTTACGCATTGYAGTAAAACAATTTTTATTCTATGACAGCAACATCAACACATAATGAACTTTATCTCCTGCAACATAAACAAACCTCATGTGTTTTGCTACACAATGCTCAAAAATACRGAGCAATGTACAGAAATTAAAAAACTAAGTGCATGATCAACCAACACATTAAAAAAAAATCACAGCTGATGTCAGTTACACTTGCCACACAAACACCAAATGCTTGGCACTGAAATAGTATGAAAGCACAATAATCGCCATTTTATAAATTAGAAGACTGAGCTCTGGAAAGGACAAGCTACACATTAGAGGTTGAAAATGAATCTGTGGCACAACCAAAACAAAACCAATGCCAATTTCCAACCCAAGCTTGAAAGTGCAACATTTGGCACTTTACATTACTCCTTGCAGTGTAACAAGAATCAAACACAGAAGGCCCTTGGGTAATGAAAACATCGGGATATGTGGTCAACAACTGTGCAAAATAATTCACTTCATCTCTACTGGTCTCAGCATTCTCACCAGAAATTGCTTTATAACACATATGAAAAGGATAATCAAATGTGATTTTCAGCTGAACAATAGGCTCTAGGCTAGCAGAGAGACATAAAAAAATCACTTTTGAAACAGTGAATAAGACCATACATTTAAGAGCAAACCTCAGGTTATGTTTCTACTGCCAATCTTTGTTCCTGATAGTTAAAAATATCTCAATACCTTTTCTTTATTATGAACCATATCAAATTACAAAAGAATCAAATATTATGCTTGCGTRACCATAAATAGCAGGTAATGTAATTTTCTATTTGGTAATGAAAAAGACATTAGCTTAGGAAAAAAAAAGGAAATACATGTTTATTTCTTTTAACRTACTTACTCCAGACAGACACAGGAAGAGTTTACTTAGAATCATAGAATCATTTATGTTAAAAATACCTGTAAGATCATTGAGTCCAACTGTTAGCCCAAGGTGGACTGCCAAGTCCACTACAAACCCGTGTCCTTAAGGGCTTTATCTACCTGTCTTTATATTACCTTTAGGGATGGGGACTCAACTACTTCCCTGGGCAGCCTTTTCCCGKGCTTGACAATGCTTTCASTGAAGKATTTTTTYCCTAATATCCAATCTAAACCTCCCRTGCACCTTAAAGYCGATTCCAGTGTTTGAATTTGCAAAAGTAACCACCTACATGGTTCTTACTGTCATTTTTCTGCCTAATTACAAATAGGCACATTAACAGTCATATCTTCCTCATTTTTTCCCTGTTAATATGTTTTCTTTAATGCAATAATTGCATTCATCTTTCAGATAGCCAGAGGGAGGAGGGAATGAACAAGCACCAAGTTCCCCATCTATTATACACATGACAAATCTTTTTCTTCTCTGCACAAAGCATTATTAACTGTCAGATTCTTAACCTGTAAGCAACCATGCACACGCCTCCACTGCAGTCAATAAGCTGAAATTACAGTACTAGTTACATGCTTAAGTATCAGCATAAATGTTTGAGGAATTCTGGTTTAAAGATCACTGAACTAAATTRCTGAATTCTATTAAATAAAAAAATCCTCTACAGGCTCAAAGTGTTTTTATTTTTTCAAGAGGAACATGCTTGGCTGTGCCATCTTCCTCTGACCTACGCTGCTCAAGGTCAGTAAAAACACCATTCCTCTGGAAAGGGCAAATACTCGCTGATTGAATCAGATACAGTTGCATTTTATCACCAAAGTAACATTTTTGAATAAAAGCATTTGTATCAGAAACAGGGTGGCCAGCAGGAGTAGGGACTGATTGGTGAGGCAGCACCTCCAGTYTCGTGTTCAGTTTTGGACCCTTCACTACAAYAAAGACATYRAGGTGCTASAGCAGGTCCAGASAAGGGYGATGGAGCCAGTGAAGGGTCTGGAGCACAGGCCCTGTGAGGAGAGGCTGAAGGAAGTGGGATTGATTAGCCTGGAGAAAAGGAGGTCCAGAAAAGACCTTATCACTCTCTACAACTGTCTGAAAGGAGGTTGTAGCCAGGTAGGGTTGGCCTCTTCTCCCAGGGAACCAGTGACRGCCCGAGCGGTAACAGCTTCAAGTTGTGCCAGAAAAGGTTTAGATTGGATATTAGGAAAAACGTCTTCATCAAAAGGGTTGTGAAGCCCTGAAACAGGCTGCCCAGGAAGTGGCTGAGAGGTATTTAAAAGGCATRTGGATGTGGCACTAAGGGACATGGTTTTGTGGTGGYTTTGGCAGTGCTAGGTTAATGGTTGTACTTGATSATCGGAAGGGTCTATTCCAACCTAAATAATTCTATGAAAATATATGCTTCATTTTATCAGGAGCATAAAGCCACAATACAGTGATTTTTTTGCTGTGTTTATGAAGCATTRTTGTGTCCCTTTAAGAAATACTCCTTCCCCATAAGATACAAAGTTGATGCTATATGTACCTTAACTAATAGCACATTCCAACATTAAGTGTTTCCCTTAACATGAAACAGAACAGACTGTARGAATTCATGCAGTTGCCACATGTAGGTATCCATGATGCTGAAAACCTAAGCAGAACATGACTACACTTAATATTGTTACAAATTTGATTTTTCAAAGACACAGGGAAAGTTTAATTCACTCTTTCACACCAGGAGATCCCAAGGATCAGCTTCACAGGTTTGCATCCTGCCCCTCCTCCAAACTGCAGATGTTACATTTGTTACCTGTGAGCCTCAACAGGACATTTTGCTTTCCAGTCACTCAAATGGGTGTCATATTCCACAGATATGATTCTAAGGGAAGGACAGTCTGAAGCCAGCCATGTCTAAATTAAAGAAAAGCAAAACCAAAGGATCTTATAATTGAGGTACTTAAAACTCTTAAAAGCAACAGAGAAAAGACGTTACTATGGGGACAATATCAAATAAAGCTTTTGCTTTTCAGTTAATCCCCAAATAAATTTTACACCTGGATTATTATTCTTTTATTATGTTCCCCAGCCACAAAGCATGCAAAGGATTAAGATTAATCTCTAACTCGTGCATTCCTGGCTCCCTCTCCTGGGTGAAACAAGAGTTACGGAGTTCCCAACAGGACTGATCGGTTCAAGTTTCACAGAGATACTTTAATGGCTATACCAGTTGCTTGGAGCAGTAATTACTTATTCACCAACAATATTAAAATAGCAATCTGCACAAAGTGAGGTACTCAAACACCTATGTAAGAAAGGGAACTTAACGTAAAATGTTATTCTATAAATCTCCTACTCAGCAATAACGTTCCATTAAAAAAAAGAGAGAGCATAACGAAAAAAGCCATTGCCTCCTCTTTCAATTGCATGTGAATGATGTCAAGAACATAAAACTTASCAGGGATTTTTCCTTGCAAGAACAACAAACAACTCACTAATAAAAATTTATCAGGAACTTCAAGACTGCTACTTTTATAACAAATTAAAAATAATTTAATTCAAAAAAGACATCTGCCAGATGGTATCCTTCTAGATGTTCTGAACAGCTCTCATCAATGAGAAAACAGGAGACACATGTGAAAATATTACTGTCTTTTTACCTTTGGCCAGCACTGACTATAGCCCTCTTCCCCTTCTGAGGTCTTTTTATCCAAATGCTGGTGGTCAATGTCTTGCTGTCGCCAGGTTTTAAATGCTGCTCCCAAAAGACCGTGAATGAAAAGGATGTCTGCTCTGATGGGCTGGCTGATCAAGAAAAATGAAATTTTATTAGATACATGGTACATATTCTTCTAGCAAATTGGAACTTTTAACCTAAGGAATGCCAAAATACTTTTTTTTGAACACTACATGTGATATCTTATGGATAACATTTAATGATATTTCAAAGAGTATACTCGGATCAAAACAAAATCCAGGGATCTACACAGAAGAAAGATATAAAATTACACATGGACAGTACGCTCCTCACAAATTATAGTTTTCCACAATGAAAAACATCATTCTCTGCAGCTACAGTTAATGGAGCTTGGTGGCTYCAGCTTAATCATCAAATTAGATCTTAAGTGCAATGGGAGTAACACCAGTCACCCAGGGAATAGCTGCTACTAAGTSATACCCCATGCTGGAGACTGCTTCAGTCCCAGATCCACAACCACTATTATTAAGGATGAAAATTTACTGCATCTTAGGCCATTTTAGGCCAACATATGCTGTTGCCAGTGCAATAATTACAAGGCACTGCATCCYAAGACAAAGTGCAAAGGTTCAACAGTTGCAACCCACTCAGAGCAGTAATTAATTTCATGTTCTGTGTTCAGATTTTTCCATGCATTAYGGTAATATTCTGTTCATGTTTACTGACTCCTCCAACCACTGCTGTTGCTCTCTTACTTGAGAATCTAAATTCAGTCCTCTCAAGCCACCAAAGAACAGGAGGGGCAAGGTGATGTCAGTATAGCAGCACTCTGATGTCAACTCTTCCAGAGTTTTTTGACAGAATAGTATAACAAGTAATTCCATGTATAGCACGTACAAATGACTCCTTCTACTTTACCTGCTACGATATTGTGGATGTAGGACATAAACACCATCTAGATATTTCTCTTTCACTGCATCCCTGTCTAGATTAGCCAAAGCTCTGGATGCATGAGAAGACTGAATGACATGTGGGGATTTCATTACTTCAGCAAGTACAGAAACCCAACCTACATAGAGAAAATAAAGTGGCAGGTTAACTAACAGAAACATTTAAACAACAGAAATCTGAAAAATCACCCATCCAAGCATACTTCTGAAAATAGATGTTAAAACTTGAGAATAGTAATGTCAAAATAAATTACTTCAACCTACTCTTTACCTCAGGAAAGCCAAGGCTAGGYAAGTGGAATCTCCAAAATCCAAAAATTCAGAGTGGCAAGAAGGCAATGTGTTTTATTACTATTCAGCTTTTGATATGAAGGAGAATCACTTCTCAGAAGAAAAAGGAAGTGTACCCAGCAGGTTAGAACAGTTGTAGCAAGAATAGATCTCACATCTCATTTTACAGGCAAATGCCAGGAAGATGGAGGCAATGAAGCTTCAAGCAAAAGAAAGGCATAGAAAACAACCTACAGGAGCAATGGCATGCAAAAAATTGATGCTTGCTGTGAAAGTACAACCATKTCTAATTTCAAAATCCAGTGTAAGAGAAACTCTTTATGCAATTGAAATATGGCTACTACTCTAAAAATTGCACATAATTTATACCATATAAACATAAAACAATTAAACGGATACAACCTCAATAAAATTTTAAGTCGAAGATGACTTACAGACAACTTATGATGCTCTACCTCAGGCGTGAAATTTTCTCAAACTTAGATGGGAATGTTCATAGACTACTGAGAAATGCAAAGGAGCATCTTCTATGTGTGTATGTACACACATTTCTTTAAAATCCTGATAAATCTTATTGTTGCTAGCAAAAGTGGCCTGTAAATCACAACTACATTACAGTCAAGTTCATAAATAAAACTTGGGAATTTACTTCATGAGCACTGCTTCAAAACCATGTACATTATGTTGCTACTAGTATAGTCTATCTTGAATTAGCGCTGTTCACTGAGAAAATGCACACATTGACATTGGAATTTTGTTTTAAACAAACAAACAAAATTACTAGTACCATTGAGGGTGGCAATTTTTTTTAAGAATAATGCATTTAAATTAAATGTCTAAGCAGAATATATGCTGACCACTGTGAAAGTTGTACTTAAGAAGAACASTATCTAAAGTCTACTTTCAGTTCTCCAAACACAATGGAAGACTGCCAAGATAATCTGACTAAAACTAGCTTAGTCTCTGGTTTTGCATTTCTCTTAAATGAGCCAAGATGAAGTGTCAAAAATAAGTGTTCAGAATCAAAAATAAGTGTTCTGTCCCCAGATACCCCGCCACATTTACTACACAGTGTATCACTGTTTTTATTCTTCTTTCTGTGCCAGCAATTTTGCAAGAAAAAGAGCCTTAGAGGTTCTTTCTTCTTATGCATCATCAAGCAATAAGAGATGCTTTATCAACTCTGAACTAGCAGTATCTGACTGCTCATCTTTGGAGTTTGATTCACTGTCTAAAATTCCTTTTGTATTGAGAGCTCTGTCCCAGGGAGCTGCTGAATCYCGTTTCAATCTCTTCTTCTACACATATGGTTTCAACAATTGTAAGCATTTAAGAATGGTGCCAGAGCTCAGAATAAAGGCCTTTATAGTCCAGCTACCTTTCTTCAGAAGCCAGCTGTGTGGAAGCTGCAGAACAATATAAGAATAGAGCAATAAAAGGACAATTATACAGTGCTGATTCTAGTCTATACCCTCAGGTTTTCTGCAGGCAACTTGGTTTCCATGCATGGAACTTCATGGATTTTTCTTTCCATGAATTTTTCTAATCACTCCTTGAAACTTTTTGAGTCTTCAACTACCAAAAGGTTTTGGGGCAAGTTTTATTTTGGTCATGCAGTATATGCAARAACACTATTTATTTGTTCTGTGTCTTTAAAATTTAATGTATAAGAACCTTTGGTCTTGCATTACAACAAATAGCAGAGGACCAKTCCCTCTTTGCCTTCTCTATGCAAGTGGAGAGAATTTTATAAATCTTAGTCATAAGTCTTTCAGTTGTTTTTTCCATGCTAAGTCTCTTATTGGTTCTTTATATCACAGTCATTGCAAACTTTTAATTACCCTCGCTGTCCTTTCCTGTGCCTTTGCTACTTCTCCTTTGTGTAAAAGAGATTAAAAATGCACACTGCATTTAACAGGTAGACACCAGTTTGGACTTCTAGAACAGCATCTTGATACTTTCTATTTATTTCTTTTCTATTAAAATACTGGGAATAATTTATTTGGCACAGAACTTCACTGTGCTATTTAGAGGGTATTAAAAAAGGGGCATGAGAGAAAAGCTTAGTAGAARTTACTAGTCTAACACGAAACAAGAGAGGGTACGACATTTTGTTTCACTTTTTTTCAAAAAGTGAGGACTGCAAGTTTATTTGTTCCTGTACAAGACTGAAACACAGTCAATTAAAAAAAAAATCTACAAGGTAGATGACCTGTAAGAGCAGGAAACAAAACGGGTTTTGCCAGTAATGTGAACTGACCATGAAGACAGTCCAATTTTCACCATCCATCAGACTCTGAGCCCCTCTCACTGACATACACTGGCTAGACAGTAAAAGAGTTTTTAATCACCACCATCTAAACAATCAGTATTTTTTGGGTACTAAAAAACCCAAACAACAACCGGCCCCACTCCCACAACTATAAAAACCACATCACTACCACGGTCTTTTGCACTGTACATAGGCACCAAATTCTCTGAAACTTTTACAGTAGAAATGTGTCATTGAGACTTCTTTCCTTTTACCTGCATGTACTATGGATGAGTGAAGATGTTCATCCAAAGCCATATTCCCAATAATGCGGATTATGTTCCTCTGTATCTTGGCTGAATGTTTACGTTGCTGGTATATCCGCTGTAGCAGCTGAAGGCCTCCTTTAGCTTCAATTTTATCACAGTGAGAACATATCTGGCATTATACAATAMATACAATGACAATAAATAAATAGATGTTCTGCAAAAAGTTCTTTAGATGCTGTTAATTCACAAATTAGGGCGTTTTAAGAAGCAGGTATAACACAGAGCCCTTGYTGCATAGGAATTATTATTAATCTAGAATTTACTATGCCATATTTGAAGAGAAAATAAATACTTTAATATGGAAAGACATTATTTCTACGAATTGACAACTTGAAAATCTGAGTTCCATGTCTCTACCCAACATATGAGGGAAATGAAATGGTCTCCGCTTGCCATAATTAAATTTCAACTCAAGTTCAAGAGCCTGAATAGGTCAATTGTCTGCATTTGCTAAAGCACTATGTCAAACAGAGMCACTTCTCCACCTCCTAAAATGCAATGATTGTAATTCCTTCTCTTTTTCAACAGGCAATTGGAATGAGTACAGTCACAACTTGTTTAAATTGAAAATATRGAATATAACAAATTTTAGACTAAGTTAGAATTTCTATGTAATGGAACATGTGAAAAGAATACTGGGACACTACACTTTATCCATCCCCACAATCAACAATAATTTTGTGTTTTCAACACTGTTTCTCAGTGTTCTAGGCTTYTAAACAATTAAGTGTACACAGAAGAATGTAGCAACAGAAAACAAGAAGAACCACTGTTACAAAATATCTTCCACACCCTTCATCTGTGTCTGCAAAAACAGAACGGTCCTGGGAAGGCCATTGTATTAGCTGCTTRCTGTGCAATATTCTGCCCCAAAAAATACCTTTCTGTATGGGTAAGTTTTGCATTCTGTTCTGGTTTCTGATTAGAGTGAATTCATGAGGCTACTTTGCTTTGTGAAAATCTGGCACTAGTGTCTCAGAGCTGCCCTTTTTATATCTTGAAAGCTACATATAGGTATAGTACAGAGGAACTTGTAAGGGCTAATTAGAAACAACAACAAAACTTACATACACATCACCATGAGAAAAAAAATAGTCTTTTACACTGCATTCATTTCACACAGGTCTCAGTTGTTTGAACATTCTTACAGAAGGAGCGAGGGGCAGCAGATGAGGAAATGGCAACTCCTTCCTGATACTTGAGAGTGCATTAGAAAAGAATGTACATAAATGTAGCTTTTCAGTTACATTTTAAAGGACAAATTACCTTAGAATGCTGTACTAAAGCCTGCAAGCAGAAGAGCTCCACTGTCTCTGAAGGGATTTTACTCAATGTCTCACARTATGGAAGTCCATTTCCTCCAAAACACCATAAGCCTCCCTGAAATGAAAAACAGTAAAAATTGTAACACATTTTAAAGCTACATAAAAGAAGGGTTTCTAAACTAGAATGTTAAGTGTGTAATGATCYATAGAAATTGCTTTAAAGAGTGCACAGCATGCATTCACTTTTCAAAATGTACAAATTACACAACAGTGTATCACAGAAGTATTTACTATTTTTAACTGGGAATATGAACTAGATTTTCAATCTGTAGTCTCCTTAGTCTATTAACTTCAAAGCATACAATAGAGGGGGAAAAAGTAGGATTTTCATTTTGTTAATGAATGTCATCTTTTAAGATCATTTGCTTAAGCACAAAAAAGCAAGAATCAGATTAACTCTAGACTTGCAAAAATTAGGAGGAAAAAAGGTCTTCAGTACGTGGCACAGCCTCTGAAGACCAGTCTCTCAATCACGCAGCAGAAAGACCAACATAACCTCAATAAAAATCAAAATACTTCCAAGTGTGGTGTCTTACCAAAGCTCCCTTTGTAGCACGAGCTCTGGCTGTGAAAACAATAAAGGAGTGATGGTGTAAAATAGCAAACATAACTCTGTCATAGAAAGCAAAGAGTTATTGCACTCTGAAAACTCAAAATGAAGAGTGACAAGCATTGTTATTAAAATGACATTCATTTTTGTTATTGCATCTTATAAAAAAACACGATCACTGATTAAAGAAGTCACAACTTTAAAATTAAAAAATAAAATTCACGAGAGTGGATGAAACTGGCATTAAAATTATTTTTAAGCAATAATGGCACTTTAAATAATGTTCCTAAAACCCCTTAGGAAGTTGTTGCATAGACAGAGTTGAAGAATTCCTAGATCCAAGTCCAAACAGACCATAGACTACTCCAATTCTGGTTTGCTAACAAGCACCTGTGTCAGGGAGGCATTTCCATATGATATAACAGTTTACTATTTAAGGCGTGCTAAAACCTACCATTTTGCTAGTAACTCTTAACAGAGATTTAATAATTTCATTGGTAAAAGAACATTCAAAHAACAGTAAGATGAAATGTGAAAAATCATTTTATGAGCACTACGAGGGGAAGGAATGTTTTGGTCAAAGTGTTGAAATACCTGCTTAATGGGAAGGCTTGTTAAATACAATTTTTCACTAGACCTTTCAACTAGAATAGCTGGGAAATATAAACAAGCTTTCAAGCAGATAGACTGTATTTGCAAGAGATTTTGCTGATGTTCCACAACCACAAAGAGCCTGTATTTCTCTTCCTCTTACAGTGATCAAAAATATGGAAAAAGGTTTGTATCTTTGAGCTCTACAGGAACAAAAAATTTAAATAACTCTGTTCTGCAGATGACAACTCACCCTTTGTGCAGCAAGAGTCTGGCTACTTTCACGTAATGCAAGAGATGTGAAATACTGGACGCATGGATCAATACCAGTCTGAGGTAAAGATACCAACAACAAGCGAAGTTCATCTTCTATGGGATAATCCTGTGAGATGTAAGCACAAATATTTTGGGTTTCTTTTTTGTCCAAAGCAAAAGGTTTTTTGTTACTTTTTTTGAAGTAATGGAATCAGYCATACTAATGAGACCATAAAATCATAATATACAAACTTAAGTCCTCTACAACTTCMATTTAATAGTCACAATTTCAGTTAAATAGTTACATCTGTAAAGACTTTGGAAACTGGTAATTCTGAAACCACAAAATRAGTGATGAAAAGCAAGCTTTACACCCCATACTTTAGTGGCCTTATTCTAATGGTTCCAAAGAGCTGAAGAAAAACCAGTTCCTCTTTGCACAGGAAACTTTTAAGTTCACCCTWAACTGCACAGAAATTTTCATGGAATCATAAAATACTCAGAATTGTAAGTGACCCACAAGGATAATAAAAGTCTAACTCATAGATCCTGCATAGGATCATCCCTAGAATCACACCATGTGCCTGAGAGCGTTGTCCAAAAGTTGCTTGAACTCTTTCAGGCCTGGGGCTGTGATCATTTCTCTGGGGAGTCTGTTCCAGGGCTTAGCCACCCTCTGGGTGAAAACTTTTCCTGATCCAACCTAAACCTCTCCTAAGAGAGCTTCAGGCCATTCCCTTGGGTCCTGTCGCTGGTYGTCAGAGTGAAGAGATCAGTGTCTACCTCTCAGCTTCCCCTCAAGAGGAAGCTGTAGACTGCAGTGARGTCTCTCATCAGTCTCCTTTTCTCCAGGCTGAATAGACCAATACACAACCATACACTAGTGTTACCTAGTATGTAAGGACTGGCAGGTACAGATCCATTATCATGTAATGTTATGAAGATAAGAAAGCAAAAACTGAGAATATCACTACCAATCAAAGCCGATATTCCGATTTCTGTTAAGAAGTACAGATATTTTCTAACAGGACTTCTAGTCCTASCATTACAAAATACCTCATATATTATACTTTGTATGCCAATTCTGTTTACTGAAGAAGATGATATGACTGCTCAGACCATCACATAAATAATATATACACACACACTTAAAAATTAACTTTAAAAAAAAGCAAGGCCAAATTTATCCAAAAAGGACTTGTTGGCATGCAAAAGCTGGCAGTGAACAGGGTGCCTACAGCAGAGAATCACAGTAGTACCGAGGAAGCAAAGGCCTCCAGGAGCACTCTGTGTAGGATTCTGTCAGTGTCAACAAGGCAATCCAAGGTGATTTCTTCACATTGCCTGTTGGATGCAGACAAGCAGTGTGTCTGTCAGACTGGTAACTGGCTCAGACTTCACTGCTTGTAAATATGTCATGTGGATACATAGTCCAAGAATAATAATTATCAATCCTTCCAACCTTATCTCTTTCCATCATGCCACTTGTGAATGAAGATATACCCCAGGGGTATATCATATATTATAGTTTTACATTTTGGTRTTTTACTACTAGTTAGTTACTTCAGAAGAACTCTAAACAATTAACAACAACAAAAGCAGTAAAAACCAACAGGCAACKAAGAATAATCTAATAACTACTTCTCCTTTACTTACAGTCTTTATTTTTGGCAGTGGTGGTGGAGGCAGGAAAAAGCGAAGGTCGACATCTTTGGATCGAGCCAAACCTATAGTGGTCCTTTGATCACAGGCTTGAGCAACTGTGCCATACTGATAATCTGTTGTACAGGAAATCTAATGTTAGGGTTAAAACTAACCTTAAATATTTAATTTAATTTTAAATGCAGTTTGGGATCCTTTGATTTGTAACCACCAATTCCCAAAGTTAAAAACTGCAGATGTTAGACCAGCCCTAGAGCTGAAACTGGGCACTAACTGYTCATTACAGACCAGTTTGATAATTCAGTGACAAACTGAAGGAAAATATAACCCTGAGGTAGATCAATGCTTTTTACTATATAAGTTTGCTTCTATTCCTGTTACTGTCATACAATTCTAGACCAAAACTGACCAGCTATAAAAAATACTTTTAACAGTTGTAGATTGGCCGTATTTTTTCTTTGGTGGAGATCATTCATACCTGCAGACTGAACTGTCAGCTTTGGACAAGCTGAACACTTTGGTCCTAGTTATGAAAAGTTTTTTCACACTTTAAGTCTCAAACTTTCTTTGACTTGAAGTATCAGGTCATAAAAAAGCCTGTTTCTCTCATGAGGTAGTTGGCAAGAGTAATAAGGGTTTATGAAACATCCAAATACTACAACAATGAGCACTACACAGAAAGGGAGATAACAAAAAGCAACTAAATTCCTGATATTGGACAYCTTGTGCTCTGAGATCACTTGCTAACAATATTCTTTCACAATGGACAAAGTTTCAGTTTTGGGACATCCTAGGTTTCTAATGTTTTCAAACAGTTTGCGAATGTAAATTCCCTGTGGAAATGAATTAGAAGTTTAAAGAAGCCATTTGAAACAAGATAAATCCCATGGTGTGGAATTACATTGGWGGAGTAAAAAACCCACAATTGACTGAATTACCAAAATGAGAGTCCAGAATAACAGAATGTCACCTAGTTTATGTAGCTGTAGCCTAGTGATGGAGGAGGAGGACGAGGACACACAAATACACATACACAGCCCTCCCCTTTATTTGGGCTTTTCAAGCACATCTGCTGCTGAAGCAAGAGGGAGAACTTATTACTATTAAATAATAACTAGGACAAAAAATGGCTTACAAATAATTCTTGCACATACAAGCCCCCTGCCTCTGGTTTGTCATTACTACCTATCAGCTCCTAACTGATTTTTATTAACTTGACCATGGCTTTAAACTCAGTCCTAACAGAGTCTTATAAAAAATCACTGCCAAAACTTGTGACTCTGTTAGCAGTCCCAAAAGAAAACTCAAGGAACTAACAAGCGTGAACTGCACTCCCACAACCACAGCAATGGTTACAATTGCTGGTGGGGATTGCTGGTTACACACAGTTACAGTTCTCTGGTGGGGAAACAGAGGCCCACACTGTGAACACACATTGTGTCAGGTCATTAGGGAAGAGCACCTACTTGAAATGTAAATAACTCACCCACATTTTAGACCAACTTTCAGAGCATATTTATGCTTCTTGCAGATACTAGCTTTTTTTCATGTTGTCAGTGGACTTCGAACAGCTGAGACATTGTGGAATTTCTGGGACAAAGTAGGCTAAATCAGAATACATTACCATGCCAATGACTGTTGCTTGCCAGGTCTTGTACAGCCTGCAGTCKGACTGCTTTGTCTTCTGACTGACTTCTCTTTAACAGAAGCCATAAGGCACACTCTTGATCATCTCCATCAAAGGTACTGAATTGTTCTTTGACCAGGAAACAAATTAAATCCAAGTTATTATTAATGAACATTTGAACCAGTCATATTTCTATTTGTTGAATAAGGGAATATTTTTCTTTTAATATTTGAACATTACTTGTTCATAGTAATTTAGAGTGTCATGTTTTAACATTGAATTTGTACAACAAACATGATGATAGAATGACATCAGTAAAATGCTGGTCCCAAAATGCTGAGTTTATCTCATTTTAGCGGCACCAAGTTGATTATTTCACATCTATGTGATATAAAACCCCTGGCTGGCACTTATCAACTAGAATTAACCAGCTTCCAGCAGGAGCTGCAAATTATTAGCAATTCTTGAGGCTCTGACTGTCAAGAAATAATTTCATAGGACAACAGTGGAGATGCACATYGCTATATTCATTTAACAGATAGTTAAATGAAAATACACAGTATGCCTCAGGAGCACAGTTTCTTATACAAATGGAAACTCTTGCTTCCAAAGTTCGAAAAAGCTTTGAAAAAACTGTGCTGCTTTCAGRTAGGATTGCCAATTTTGATGAAAGCATAACATACTTTTCTAAAATGAGATTTGAGTATTTCATCCCACAAACACCTTYTGTACACAAAACTGGAATCAAATATTAACCTGGTACCTTAAGTTTTAAACCTCTTYTGGAACAAGAAAAAAACAACCCTCAAATCACCTCTTATCCATCACTTTMATTTACTTAAAGAAAAGAAATTGTTTTAATACATAGAAAATGGACAACTGACTGATAATCCATATTAATATGGAAATTATAAGCTATATTATCACTGTTTCAAGAAAAAAAGGRCATGCTAACTCTGTAAAAAAAAATTCCTTCCTATATAGTCTACTTCTTACTGTTAAAAAATAATAATCATAGATAAAGTCCTGCTTTCARTACCTACCATTAAAAGGTCTCCGGAAGATTCTAGCTTCTGTTTCCAGAATTTTCCTCACTGCTTTATGGATTTCTTTTCTGGCTTTGTATGTGATCCCTACAAGAGTATTTTTATATTACTAGAAGTTTGAAAGGCAATTYGCTTACATCACTTCTCATAARTACATGGAAAAAAAATRCACACACACATATACATGAAGRYATTAYATAAAGAGAATTATCTCATATACAGAGAGCTACGTATAGAAAGAACTATCTTAAAAAAACAGTAAGCAGCTTAAAATAGATTTGGTGACATTCCCTGGTAACAGATCTCAGGAAATATAACTTTCCTTATTACATAAAGGTGACTTCCAGAAACATTCCATTCTCTTGGAATTCTGTTTTTAAAACTCAAACAATTTTGCATCTTACCTTGATATTCACTYGGACTTAGAGAAGCTGAACGTGCATAAACATAGGATTTATGCTTCTCTTGATGYAGAGCTTGAGTATCGATTTGCAGTAACTTATTTAAGGACAGGACTTCATATGTAATGAATACAAAACCWCTTCAAAGAAAAGAAAACTGCATATGAATATTAACTAAAACAATATAAYGAAAAAAAAGTTAGTGATCACTTTGGAATGAATTATCCAGATTTTATAAAATACATAATAGTCGATTATTTTGATTTAGTTGAGAAAACACTATAAAATACTTGAAATAAGTTATAACTATTGGAAATTGTATTTCAAGATTATAGTTTACCATATCTAATGTCCCCTAATATTATCACATTTTTTAAAAAGCACGCATATTAAAATTTTAACTATATACATAAGTTATGTATATGCTCATCAGTTACAACTTACCCTAGTATAAGCGATCCAGTTACCTTTGCAATTTTTCCTTGAAAAAATTAAAACCAAGTGTCAAACAAAGTTGTGTACATCACYTCAATATAAACATAGTTACCATTTGATTATCAAACAGTAAGAATACCAGCCATTAAGAATAAGATTTTTAGAAAAATTCCATTGCTCTTTGGCTTTCAGGAAATTATTAACCAAAATTTATGAATGGAGAAAACATTACTTGATTTGGATTTCCTGCTCTCCTACGCAAGATGATGAAACAGGTATCCTGCCAGTGCTATTTACTTTGAATATTGCTACCTCTCAGTTGCATTAATTGCTCAGCTACAAGMATCAACAGTAAACTTTCTCTGCCTATAACACTAGCATTGATTTGGAACTCAAAACAATTTTAAGGAGTTAACCTTTTCTTACAGTTTGGAGATATTTCTTCAGTGTATATTATTACATACAGGACTATGTGTTCTTTGAGAAGTCTTGCAGAGTCTCCATAAGAAAATATATTTTAAAAAATAATTCCATTTAATTTAAGTTATAAAGCAAACATATAATAAAMACATGCTACTTGCAACAATTTGCCTTTTAAGCCTAATGATTCCTTTCAGATTTCAGCTACTTTGCATATACAAAGCTGATCTGATTATCTGGATATAATGATCTGTATACAGAGAAACTCTTATCATTACCAGCAGCAGCAAACCCAATGGAACACATCTCACCTATCAGRAATAATTTCTTTTCCTCAGCATGAATTGGGAGATTTGCCCCACAACAACTGCTACCAGCTTCCATCTTTGTGAGGCCRTAAGAATTTTGCATGCAGACAAGAGGCAGCAGCTACATGTTGAAGAAATAACTGGCAGAGAAGTTTGAAAAGGAAAAAAATGCAATGCCTCCAGTAGAGCAGAAATCRAAATATCCTATTGTTAATGCTCAGAAATAAATTTCAGAATTTCAGAATTATATGCCAAAGGCACCAAAGAAAGTAGAGACTAAGCAAGAGAGACTGCTGAGCTGACACCAGTAAACAAGGAAGAAGAAATAATAGAAAGAAGTTTTATTCACTGTTAATGGAGGTAATTATTTCATGGCTCTAGAGGTRRCCAAAAAATCAGCTACAKGTGGAATTGAAGATAGTTTAATGAGAACACATTTAGTTAGGAAAAGACCCTCATCTAGTGTTTGTATTTGTTCCCAGACAATCTGCTGGTGTCATATTACAGGTCACTATGCAAAGCAAGGTCAGAAGCAAAGAGCAGAGACAGATACAAGCTGCCGCAAAGTATTCAGGGGCTTAAAATTTTAGTATCAGTTAATTATGCATGGTGTCCTATCACTCTTTTTATTAATACTTCAGATCRATACATAATGAACTGTACTTACTGATATCATTCCAGGGTGTTTTTGGGGCTGGACCAGAGGTTCCTATTTTTCTGTAGCAAAATACACAGTAAGCAGCCACTGACATTCTGCCTTTGGAGAGGAGGAAAAAAAGTAATGATTGACTGGAGAATTACAGCAGAAAACCTGTAGCAGTTTTTTTCTGCCTTTTTACAGCAAAGGTCATGATAGTAAAGGTCACAATAAACCCTGTTTGTGTCATTTCACTCCATATAATCCACTTCAATTAAAGAACTCTATAAATGTCTCGATTTAATGGGCTGAATTTCAATTATAAGAAAAGTTTAAGCAGCTTTTTATCAATTATGTTACTGTTGATTTTAGTGACTAAATATTTCCAATTAACTTCTCTGCTTCTAAGTTTCCTTTCCTTCTTCTCAGTCACCCAACCTTAAATACCAGATACGGTCCTATCTCCACCAAGACATTACTCAGTATGACACTGGCTTTAATTCAGTAACCAACTGCTTTTAGAGTTTGTAATTTATTGAGCTGGCAACTCTTATTTTGACTAACAAGGCTTAAAGAACTATTACATAAAAACTACATAAMATACTTTTTAAATACATTGCAGAAGTAACATGAAACTTGTATCTTGTAAATGAAATTTTARTGTCTGCATTGATGCATTTATACTAACTGAAATATTGAATTAATATGTTTTAATGGGTGTAAAAACCTATCAGTATCTCTCACATACTAACCAAAATCTTGTTGGAAACATAGATGACCTTATTAAATGTCAAATTTGGTCTKTCACCACAATCACAATTAACTCGATAAAATGTTACATGTGTAAACCTGATGCTCAAATATGGAAGCCTGATATCCTCCTTGAATTTAAGGCAATCTCTCCAGACCAACAAAAGTGCTTATATTACTTTTATCACCAGTGTCCAACATCTTTAAACAAGGGAACTTTTTTGCTTCCTTCCTTTAACATGTCTTCCCTCTTTTCTCATTKCCCCAGAAGTTTTGATCTTTAGCTTCTCTCTTGCATGTGTTTGGGAATTTGTGAAAAACATCAGCTCTACCCCAGCACTGTCACAATCACTGCAGCCGCTTTTTTACTTCTGTCATTTCAGCACTGTTTATCCATTCACTTCAACAGAGTACACCACACTGTGAAACACTCATTGGACATTGACAATCAGTCCTCTGAAGATACCTCTCCTGCCTCCAAACTCTGTCTTGTGACAGTTCCTTTACTACCTTTATTCACAGAATCACAATACTCACATTTACTCCTCTCTCTAACCACAGTCTGCAATAAACATGTGGTGCAGTAACAGCAGGTGCAGCAATCACTAAAATTTAAAACATGCACCTGCAAACACAGGAGATCAAAATAAGCACTATTTCTCTGTTGCCAGGAGCTTCTGTTCAGAGCAAATGTTAGAATCATCAAAAGGGGCTGGAACAGACCTTAAAGATCACCCAACCCCAACACCTTTGCACCGGGCAGGGACACCTCTCACTGGTTCATGTTGCTCAAGACCTTAGCCAGCCTGGGCTTGAACACTTCCAAAGCTGGGGCATCCACAATCTTCCTGAGAAATCTGTTTCAGCGTCTCATCACCCTCACAGACAAGAATTTCTTTTTAAAGATCTAATCTAAATTTTTTCCCCTTTTAATTTGTGCCCATTACTCCTTGTCCTACCACTACACTTCYTGATGAAGTGCCCCTCTCYSACTACCCTGTAGGACCCTTCAGAYACWGGAAGGTTGCTGTGAGGTCTGCACACAACCTTCTCTTGCCCAAAMTTCCTCAGGCTATTTTCCTAGCGGAAGTGCTCCAGACCTCTCAGTCAACCTCGTGACCCTTCTCTAGASTGTCCCAACAGGTCCATGTCTTTCTGAGGTTGGGGACCCAGAGCTGGCTTCAGCACCCGAGGAGGGGGTCTCACCAGAGCAGAGGAGGGGGGCAGAATCCTCTCCCTGAACCTGCTGGCTGCGCTGCCCTTAGCTCTCGAGTCACCATGAACTTTTCAKGCTCAGGGACTCTCAAATATAATGCAAAAGGAGCCATTTCGCACAGTTTCACTGCTGGTCCAGGCAGCTCCAAGCCCCCTCCCGCACCTGGGTGCGGTGCCCACCTACCCACCTCACGACTGCGTAACTGGGGCGTATTAAAAATAAAGCTAAAACCCACCACCGCAAACACAACTTTAAGCAATGCAACACGGGCAAGAAGCCAAGCCGAGGCTGCTCCGTGCCTCTTTCCAGCGCGGAGGAGCAAAGCATCCGTTACCCTGCACCCCGGCCCCGGTGTCGCCGCCGCCGCCCCCACGCCCCCCGCTCGCGACGGGATCGCCGTTCCCACCTTCCGCCTCCGCCGCCGCTCCCCGCGCCCGGCCCCGCGCGCCGCGTGACGCCATCGCGCCGCCGGCAGCGCCGGCCAATCCGCGGGGGCCASCGTGCGCGTGCGCGTGCGCGGGCAAAGCACTTCCGCCGGCCGGGAAGCGGCGGGGAGAAGAGCGGTGTGAGGGATTGGATTGCCGGGGAAAGCTCTCTGTCTGCSGCGGAGGTGAAGGACGGGACTCGAGCCCTTGGGAACTTCTCTGTCCAAGGCAGAGGTGACGGGTGGGCGGGAGGGTTCGGATCCCTTGGGAGCCCCTTCGTCTGCGGCGGAGATGAAGGGCAGGAGGGACCAGCAACTCTGCTGGTCCGGGGTGTGGGGTTGTCGTAAAGGGCATCTGAGCGTAACCGAGGTGTTGCTTGGTTTTGGTTTTGTTTGTTCTGGGGGGGATTGTGCTTTCAGATTTCCTGTGATCGCCAGTGCGAGCTAAAGCAAGGGTTGTTCTTGCCGGCTCCTCAGCTTTCGTAAGAGAACCGAGAAGATGGTGAATGTTCTGAAAGGTGTTCTGGTTGAGTGGTGAGTAACAGAATTTACTGCCTCTCCTTGTGTCGAAGACTGTGTATTTCTTTAGACCTGGAAATACTCTAAGTAACTGAAGAGTCCAGATGAAAGGAATTGGGGGGAAGGATGGTGCTGAACAGGCAGAAAAGAGTGTGGCCTTTGGGAGAAGGAGAGAGGCAGTTGTAGATAATCTTAATTCCAAACTCCCAWTTTTCTTTTCAATAGACTGTTTTCCGTGTGTGTTTAACCTTAAAGAAAACCGCATATAAATATGACCTAAAAAAAGGCAAAAAAAATAGCAATCACAATGGTATAAACATCCAGTTATTTCATAATATATAAYAGACTGCAGATTATTTTAACTTAGCAAAGTAACAAAAAGGCTATAAAATACTTTAAATAAGTATTAATTATCAGAAATTATGTTTCAAAGCCATGTTTTACCACGTGTAATGGTCACCTAATATTGTCACATTTTTTGAAAGGTACACAAAGTTTTATCTSTATGCTTAAGTTATCTATATATGCATATATATCTATATTCTTGTGAGGTATGACTTACCCTAGTATAAGCAATCCRGTTACATTTGCAATTTTATCTTGAAAAAATTAGATGGTCCCTTTTATTCTTTATATTGCTTGCAAACAAGTTTCTTGCAGTTGTTTGTGAACAAAGTGTTTCTCTACTTGATTCTTGTTTCCTATTTTTTTTAATGAGCTCTAGACTGAATTCCATGCAAGGCTGACATATGGCTCTGTTTGTAAATCATAYTCCAAAGGAATGTGCTAAGAGTTTGTAAATGTCAGCTTTTGATGTAGATGCAATGTGCATGTTTCCATATAATCTCATCTCTGGACTGAGACTTAATCCCCTGGCTACCTCCAAAATGAAAAGAAGCATCACTCAAGATTTGTGGGATCATTGTATAGCATATGATGTATAAGATATCTCTGTACACCTAATCTGTTAATATGTTTGCAATCTATAGCTGCACAAAAGCAGTTCCATACTTCCAAAATGTTTTCTTCTAAACATTTAAGTTTAAATTAAGAAGGTGACATCRTGACTGTTCAGTTGGGGTATGAGAAATGAACAATTCTTACATAAGCAGTTTTTGTCTCTGCTATACTACTTTGAGTGAGAKCTGTGTTCTCCTGGGTTTTGGTTATCCTTATGCTTTAAGAAAACAKGTTTCTATGAGGCTATTGCTGAAAAAAGAAATATAAGTTCAACCTTGTCTTATTAAGGGTTGGATTTTTGAGTTTTAGTTTTGGTTTGGGTTTTTTGCAGCTGTCTTAGCAGCAGCATAGGGAAACTTCTCTGCTAGTCAAGCAGCTGGTTCTACTCATTAGACTTTATTACCATTTTATTTCTGTCTCTAAACTAATCAAAACTACTGTGAAAGAAACAACTTTTACTAATGCTTCATAAATTGTATTTAAGTTGTGAGTGACTCTTGAAATTGATGTTATTTTTCCTAAAACCTTTGGGACTCTCTTCAAATGGTGTTTTTTTGTAACTGTGAGGTGCGATCTGATGTGTGTTTGTCTCTACAGTGACCCAGCAATGAAGCAGTTTTTGCTCTACTTGGATGAGTCAAATGCTTTGGGAAAGAAGTTCATCATACAAGACCTGGATGAAACTCATGTCTTTGTATTAGCTGAGTTGGTCAACTTCCTCCAGGAGAGAGTGGGCGAGTTAATGGACCAGAATTCGTTTCCAATTACTCAGAAGTGAGAGAAAACAGAGAAATGACATAACTGCAAGTTTTGGAACAATGAATTTCAATAGCTTGGGTTGTTACTGTTTTAATAGATAACACTGTGGCTTTTGAGTTCTACATAGAAGTGGCTACTCTAGTAAATGCATCATTTTCGTAGACAAAATTGTCTGGAATTGGATTTTGTTTCTTGTTTTGAAAGGCTGTGGTATCTTTATTAAAATGCTTAAAATTATACACTTGACTTTGCTTGAGAATTTTTGATGCATGCTTTCTGTTTTTTCTTTAGCTTTTTTTCTTGCAAGATGATATGACCCAAAAAGTAGACTMGTGTTTCTGTATTGGAGTGCTGTATGAGGTCCTCTGATGTGTTGTGTTCCTGTGGAATTGATTGAATCTGATTATAGTTTGACTGATGGAAAGTAAAGAATGTCTCTTGAAGTATGATCTGTGATTGATGGAACAWCTCTAAGTTGGAGGCATGGTCAGGTACTGCTTTAACTTGATGGGTTTTACACAGCAGGATGGCGGTGTGAGTGTTRTGTTGTTTGGGTTTGAGGGGGTTGGGTGGTTTTTTTGTTAAAACATGTTACAAATGCCCCATACTATTTGCCCACATTTTTCAAAGCTTGTGCTCTCTGAGTTGTTCTGAGTTTGGGGAGTGGTGGTGAGAGTTTGGAGGGGAAGGAGGGATATGGAGGGATTGGGACAAGAAAATCCATTGCCCTTGATCATCACAAATTGAAGGGGTAACAGAAATGGGAGACCAATCCAATAGGTATAATTGCTTGTATTTTTTCACTGAATATAACAGTCATGATAAGTTATGTAATCAGACTCCCATGCTCTACCTGCAAACAAGAAAGCTGGGTTTGGATTTTTGGTTATGTTTCTTTTCTTCTCTTAGCTCTTCCTCCCATATTGCCCTTTGCTGCAAAGGAAAAGCTTTGTAGTTTCATGTTTTGATTGGTTGGGGTTTTTTTAAACAGTGTATTTGTAACCTTTGCTCCGACACTGGCTTGGTTTTCAGACCTACTCATGTACATCAGATAGATGCCACCTTTTTGTCCTAAAGAAAACAAGTGTAAAGAGAAGAGCTTTTATAAGGAAGAGTTTTCCTTATTGATTGTCCCACTATTGATTGTTTGTCTTGTCCATAGATACCAGATTAATTGGCGGGTTTGTCCTAATGGTGGCTGTGCACCCCAACCTTTTTTGGTTTGCCCTTTTTTCCCCTCTGGAATAGGGAATCTTCAGGAGGAAGTTTCACTAGATGTTTTTAATCAAAAGCAGTCAGAAGAAAGTTCTGTAGASCTGTATATATTCAGGCTCATGTGCATGAGGAAATAGCCCTGTGAAATTTACTTCATGTCGTTTCTGGTACCTTCCCTTTTCTCTGACTGTATAGAACAATCAATATTGGTCCGAGTTGTTTAATCTCGCACAAGTGGGTGCTTTCCTGGTCATTTAGATTAAGAACCAGCTACATGTCTTTACTTCAAGTAAGTTTGGTTCTTATTTATAAATAGTTTATGGTTCCTTACCTCTTCTTGAGACTGACCTCAAGAGGTCAATCAAAAATTGACCTAAAACTGTTGTTTTGTGGAAGATTATTGGGTGCTCATTTAATTGAGAAAAAAATCTGTAGTTTTAACATGGCACTACAGCTTAGTACAATTTATTTAGAAGTGTCTGTTTCCTTTCTTTGGAATCCTTGTTTATTTTCCATCCATATTCTGCTGAAAGGTAAATCATCCATTACTCTCTCTTGAAATGACAGCATTTGAAAGGTCATGTTTGAAATTCCACATTAAGGTTCTCTGTATTTAGCATGTAGTGCTCCGTAGTATTAGTGCTCCATTTCTATTGTGACTTTTCAGTCTACAATAAACTTGTTGCAGTTCTTGTCTTTTTCTCCTAGTARTTGAATGGCTTTGCTGCTGCATTCCCTATGTTTTAGCTTATATTTACAACTGATAAGTAGCTTGTGTAATACAAAGAAAAGAAGTTCCAAACTGTATAAACTAAACAGTTAAGCATGCATTCTTATGCTCTCTGCTCGCAATTTGGTTTTTTTGAACAAACAAGTTAATRGGCTTTTAACTTCTAACCCTGTCAATGTGTTTGATCCTTCCTATAACCTGGTAAGGCCTAACTGATTCTGTWCTGGAAGGATTAACAAAAGATGTAAAGATGCAAATTGGTGTTATCATATGTGGTCTAAGGAACTGAATTCTCTGTAATTCCTGGGGGRAAAAGGGTCTTGAATCAGGTAGTATGATGAAGGAAATCCAATGAGGAAACCTTTAGAACTTGAGTATATATATGAATTTTAAAAGTGAGCAAACAAAAAAAAAMAAGCAAGGGTTTCTGGGATTTGAATAAACTTGGACCTCTGAAAGATTTTGATTGTTTTTAAATGCATGTAGTGGAATTTATGTGTKTTAACAACAACAAATATTTGCCTGGATGGGAGAAAAGTAGATASTAGTGTTAAAAATATCCATGGATTTTGAGATAGTCAGCATTTACACTTACAGATTTTAAATGTGCTGGTTTTCATTCAGGTGTGACGTACTATTGGTGAGTAGAGCTTGGAATGAAACCCTGTGTTAAGATTATATTTTTTGAAGGCTGGAAATAKTTGAGAATAAAAGCTTTAGGAGGCATGTTTAACTATATACATGTTTTGATATCAGAGTTGATAGAGTGAGAAAATCAGCTCTCACTGTATTTGGAATATTATATGTTAATTTAATGTTTGTATCAGCTCTCACTGTATTTGGAATATTATATGTTAATTTAATGTTTGGATCCATAACTAATAGGTTCACTTTTTTGCTAGTATCTAGCAAAGAACTATAGTCTGCTCAGGTCCTGCTTGAGCAGCAAAAATAGAGCTTGTTGCTGCTTGTAAAGGCACCAAATTTTATCGTGAAGGGCTTTCACTGCTCATTTTTTGCTTTCAATCTGAGTTGAAAATATTTTTTCTACTGGAAGAAGTGCATGGTAGAACAATTACTTAAAATACACTTACTTGAATTTCATGTATTACTTGCTACTTGGTTGTACTTAGGTCTAAAAAGATTGCAAGTTCACTTGTTTGCATTTTGTGATTTAAGCAGTTGCTCTTGTGTACTTACTGTGACTTGAACATGCTCATGAGATCTGTTTTCATTAATATGTACAGTAGCTAAAGAGTAGTATTTGACAGAAAGATGAGAGATCTCTAAAGCAAGGTAAGAGAATTTGAAAAATTCAAACAAAATGTTACATGGGAGGAGAGGGATGGAAACYGAAAATGCAGCTTTCTAGTGAAATAAAGCAGTAACACATCATTTTTATTGAAGATTACTATTGGGCATTTCGCATTTTTGTTCAAGCCTCAGATTTTTCTAAATTTTATTAGTAGGCTTTAAAGAAAGCTGTGTAAAAAGCAGATAAGTCTAAATGTCACATATTTAGATAATTTTATAAATAGTGGGATAAGCTAATTCTGGAGCCTGGGCTATTTTAGCATGGGGGTTGGCAGCACAATGATTAGGACCCTGATTGGTCACCATAGGTAGGGGTTATAATGACTTGGTTCACTTGTGACCAATGCCTCTGGTACAACAACTAGCCCAGGAAGAATAATGGTTAAGGAGGAAATAACTAACAATCTCTAGAGACAATGGATGTGGTCTGAAGAAAGAAAATAGAGAAGGCTTTAGGRAATACAGTTTTACCTGAGAGAACCAGACTGGGTGGATTTGATTCTGTAGCTAAGCTGCTAGTGTTGTTTCACAAAAAAGTAGGCATCKGAATCCATTTGAGTAATAGTGGTTTCGTTTTTTTGTTTTATGTACTTATAATGAGAATTGGGGAACTTGGGGGGGTTGTTTTTGTGTTGATTGTTGTTTTTTGTTACTTAGTGGTGAGAACTAGATGGCTTTGTGGTGTGCAGTACTAAACCTCCAAGTGCTGTTGTACATTAAGAAATCCTATTTTACAGTCTTTACAGGTTTGTAGGGTGTGTTCAAAAACATATCCTCTGATTCTCTCTTTTTTTTTTTTTTTTTTTTTTTCTGATGTGCCATAACAACAGATTGTACTGTTTTTTCTCATTCAACTCTGCAGGGCCACCTCCTGTGCAAGAACAATCCAGAGAACTTGAGGCATTTTTATGCATTTACAGGACTGTTTACTGAAATAAACAGTATTGTTTACTGTGAATTCAAGATAATGGCATTTCACAGCGTCATTAAAATGACTTAAGTTAACCTTTCTTAGTTGGCATCTCCACTATAAAAGTGTCCAATTTCAGTTGGCCCCTAGRCTGAGCATACAAAAGTAGGGCATTAAAAATCATATGTAAATGTATGTACATATGTGTGTGCATGTGTGTATACATATATATGTCTCAACAAATCTTTAATCGTATAAACCGACACTGAGAGGTATATTTTGCTCTTAAAATCAAGCAGTAGGCCATTCAAGAAGACAGTAAGTTTACATAATAAATCTTCTGTTCATTTCCAAATTCCACACAGATTTCCACACTGGCCCCTTGATTATCCCACAAAGGATCCCATTGAAGCTGGTGATGGTTACTGTGAAATGAATACTTTACTCAGTAGGTTAGAATTGAGTGTCTGTGTTTTCTTTTTTTTTTTTTTTTTTTTTTTTTTTTTTAGACTTCTGCAATCTCTATATGTGCTATACAAAATTAAACATTCAAAATAAATTGAAGTTCAATGGGATGGAAGAACAGATTCTTCCTGAACTAAGTCATTATTTTCGGTCTTATGCCTTAACAATTAATAAGAAATTTAAATAATAGGATATTTGATAAACAAACAACTAGTTCCACATCAAACTTCTGTTTGYTTGTTTTAATGTGCAATAGAAGGAATATTTTACACATCTTTGTTTCATACGAAGATTTTCAGGACTGAAGAGCTGACAGTTTGAAGGCAAACCAGTAAGGGGAGCTCTTACCAATATTTTAAGCTCCTTTAAAATAATCGTTGGAGCCTGAGCAGTGGTGGGGCAGAGATTTACTGTGCTTTGGAACATTAGATATGCTTTCAGCTAGACATGAACATTCAACTTCAAAGGATCCTTCTGAAAAGATATTTGCTGTTGGAGATTTTGGAATATTTTTAGCTCAGAAATTTCTTAGATGTTTAGGTATCCAGTGTTTTCTTTCTAAACTTCAGAGCCTAGTCATGTTACATTAAAATGATGGATCTGAA